ACAGGGTTGCTATGAGTCAGAACCGACTCAATGGCACTGAACAACAAGAATTTAAGAAGAGTAACTTGTATGTGATAGGAATTCCAGAACAGGAAGACACCAAAAAACACAGAGAATGTGCTAAGAATTGACTGCACTCCAAACAGGATGTTTTTGTTATTAGCAAGTGCCATAATATTGGTTCCAACTTACAGTGACCCGATATAGGGTTTCTGAGGAGCAGCTGGTGGGTTTGAAATGCCAACCCTGTAGTTCCCATCCACTGCTGATCCTACAGAGCCACACCAGAAGTCCCCAGACAGAACTTGTTGTTAGGTGCCATCAAGGCCATACCAATTCACAGCGACCCTATGAATAACAGAAGGGAAAACTGAGAGGTCTTGTGCCAACCTCACAATCATTGCTACATCTGAACTCACTGCTGCTGCCACTGTGCCAATCCATCTCATGGGGGTGGGGGGCTGTCCTATTTTTCTCCAGCCCTCCACTTTGCCAAACATGATGTCCTTCTCCAGTGACTGGTCCCTCCTGACAATATACCCAAAGTATGAGAAGTCTGGCCATCCTGGCCTCCAAGGAGCACTCTGACTGCACTTCAGCCAACACAGATCTGCTGGTTCTATTGGCAGTCCATGGTACTTTCAATATTCTCCTCCAACACCATAACTCAAAAGCATCAATTCTTCTACGGTCTTCCTTATTCACATGCATATGAGGTTATTAAAAATACCATGGCTTGGGTCAGGTGCACCTTAGTCCTCAAACTGACATCTTTGCTCTTCAACAATTTAAAAAGGTCTTGTGCAGCAGATTTGCCTAATGCAATACATAGTTTGATTTCTTCATTGCTGTTTCCATGAGTGTGGATGGTTGATACAAGCAAAATGAATATCTGAATAACTTTAAACTTTCGCCCATTTATATGGAAGCTATTTATTGGTCCAGTGGTGAGCATGTTTGTTGTCTTCTTTACACTGAAGTGCAATCCATACCGAAGGCTGTGGTCTTTGATCTTCATCAGACAGAATAGAACCTCGCACCTCTCCCCCCGAAAATCAAGACATAATCAAACTTTCAAGACCCAAAGACAAGGAAAAAATACTGAACGCAGCTCAGGAAAAACTACAGCTATCTACAAAGGAGAACTAGTAAGACTAAACTATGATATCTTAGCAGAACCCAGGTAGACAAGAAACCATGAAACAACATAGATAAAATTCTGAAAGAAAACAAATTACCAACCAAGAATCATTTTTTCCGGCAACACTGTCCAACACATAAAATGGTAAAATCATGTTATTTTGAGACAAACAGAAAATTAAGAGAATGTGTAAAGATTTGTTAAAAAAAAAATTAAGAAGAAGAAGAAGACCAACCTTACACAAAATACTAAAGAGAGTTCTATGGACAGAGCACCACCAACAGCAGGCAACACCCTGAGAACAGCATGACAGTATCACGTAGACTCAACCAAGATATTAAAGTAGGCAAAGGAAAACACACCCTAACACTAGAAATGCAAAACCAGTTACAAGAACAAAAACCATAATGTAAAAAGAGACAATAATGTATGCAACAGAACTTCCAAGTGAAGAGAAAATCAAACAGATTTCAAGAATAAAACTCACATAGCCCTAATTGTAACCTGAAAACTGAAAGAGTGACTCCTGTTATGCGGTTGTTGGTAAGTGCCATCGAATAGGTTCCGACTCATAGGGACCCTGTACAGGTTTCCAAGGAGCGGCTGGTGAGCTTGAAATGCCAACCTTGCACATTAACCTGCAGCGCCACACCCTGCTCCCAGCCCTAGCCAAAACCTTATCCTTAACACCAACCCTTGTCCGAACCATAACATCAACAACACACACAGTCCTTATCTTAGCCTGGAGTCCTGGTGGGGCACTGCAGGATAAGCACTGGACCACAAGGTTGGTGGTTCAAAGTCACTAACCACTCCTTGGAAACCCTAAACAGGATTGCTATGAGTTGGAACCAACTCAACGGCACTTTAAGAACAGGCCTAGCCTAGAAGTAACCATAAACACAGTCCTTGGGAGTCCTCGTGTGGTGATGAATGCTCTGGACTGCAAAGTCAGTTTCAACTTCGAGGTCAGCAGTTCAAGCTCACCAGCAGCTCCTTGGAAACCCTGTAAAGGGTCGCGATGGGCTGGACCAACTCGATGACACTTAACAATAACAACAGTAACCTTCCCTCTTTACCTCACTCCACAGACCCACCCTCCCCCACAAATGATGTCAGAGACCTTACATGTCATCCAAATCGTCTCCCTCTTGTTAGCATTCGTTAGGTGAGCTCAGGACAGTGACAAGCCCCAAACAGGACAACATAAAGAGACCTCTCCCATGAACAAGGCTCTGTCACTTTCTTTGCCCCAGCAAAACCATATGAGAGGTGGAGCTACAGTTTTAGGAAAGATTCTAGTGTCTGAGTGAAGTCAAGGCCACTTGATGGGATAGGATGGGTCTGGAAAACCTGGGACTTAGCCATCTCTGGAAAGGAGCTTCTGTTAATTAATATTTGATCCCAATGTACAAGGTGAGATGTTAAGTACCTGTGATCAAATAAGGCCTTGATAGTCAAATAAGCCAGGTGACCCAGGCATGCCAGGTGTGCAAAACTACATATATAGAGAGAATAAGGTCTTAGTGAGAATGGAACCCAGTATGGAGAGTTAGCTACTAGGGCTGTTCAGCCACCTACTCCTTCATAGAATAAACACAGAGCACAGAGGTGGGCCCCCACCAAGTCATATAAAACCAAATCTGCTTTTTCTAAGAAATACTCAGTTCTATGATAATATCGGAGTCCTTGTGTATATCGGTGGGTTAATGCGCAAGACTGCAAAGTCCTTTGAATTGCAAGGTCGGTGGTTCGAGTTGACCAGCTGCTCCTTGAAAACCCTATACAGAGTCTCTTTGGGTCAGAATCGACTTGATGGTACTTAACAACAACAACAACATGCTACTATCATTTTCTAGTTCATTTCTCAAAGTCTACTTTATTGTGTTCTCTAAACCCAAGTCACAGGAATGGCAGTGGAAACAAGACACTAAGCAGCCTGAAGGCAGATGAATGTTTGGTGCACACTGAACTGACAGTCACAGCATTTGAAATTCTTACTTTTGAGTCCATGGCTGTGTGATACCGTCGCCCTCACTCCCAGCTGCCTAGACTGGAGTCCTTCTCCCTGTGGTGGGCTCCGACCTGAAATGGGAGAAGGAGGGGAGAAGACAGTGTTGAGGAAAGAGAGTGTGGCAGGTTCTCCACCTTCAGCCCTTCATCCGGGCTGATTTCTAGGGAGCAGCGTGCCTTCTTGTTGCAGAAATGGTGGTTCAACCACTGGCATCCAATCCCACAGATTCAGCCTCAGTGGACCCTTCAGATCCTGAACAAACACTGGGTGTGAGGTCTCTACAAACCCTTCATCCCCTGCCTTTAGATTGTGAAACCTCCTCAAGTTTTACATATGGTTCTAAATTCACATACTAACTCCAACTCAGAATTAAAATGTTATTTTTGAGTTTCAAACACCTGTAATAAACGAAAGAGAAATACTCCCCAGGAGGACCTGACTGCGCATGCCCCGCACTGCCCCACCAAAGTCCTGCCCTGAAGCAGCCTCGGAATGAACCCGGAGCCCGGGGAGCAGGGACTGGAGGGGCTGAAGCCAGCTGTGCGGACTCAGGAGAGACCCCGAGCCCGGACATCCCGGAGGCCCTGACTCTGCCCGTCTACGATGCACCGTGTCCCTGGAGGACGCACACGACATTACCTGGGAATGCACCGAGACACAGCCAGGCTTCTCCGGGCCGAGTCGGACCAGCGCGGCTCCAGGAGATGCCCCGGTTCGGGAGCAGCCCCGGGACGACGAAGAGGCCGGCCCTGAGCAGGCGAGCCGGAGTAAGCAGCTTCGATCCCAGCAGGGCCTCCTGTGTTGCCTGCACTCCGGGAGCGGAACAAACGAATAAGGGCATCAGCGACCGCGGAGACCGAAACGCAAAGGAATATGGCGCCGGGCAGTGACGCCACTTCCGCTTCCTGAGATGTGCGTTGAAAAGGTCAAAGGTACCCGCGTGAGAACCGGAAATGGGGAATTTGTCCTGATTAAACTCTCTGATATCCAGTTCCTTCTCCTGGGTTTTGGCTTAGGGCTGTTCTGTGTGCATTTTAAGCCTAGATAAACGTCTGTTTATGTAATTGGGTATATAGCCTACAACGCAGATACCAGTCCTCAAAGATTTCTACTATCTTTAGGAAACATAAATAGAGTTGGAATTTTCATATTTGTACCTTTGAAAACAAATTGCCAAGTTCTCTAGACAGTTATTCGGTTTTCCAATAAATAGTCATTCTGTACACTTCTCTCATGTCTGTTAAGTTAGCTTCCGTGTCACTGACTCCTGTTTCATGGTTTGTCTTGTGTCTCCCGTTACCCTAGAGGAGGGCACCAGCTGTGTAAACCTAGACTGAACTCTCCAAGAGCTGAGAACCGGGAAGAAAGGAGATTTTAGAGTAGTCAGATATAGAACCAATCATTGTCAGGAACAGCATTATAAACAGTGAAGTATTTATGGAAATGATGAAAATAAACATTTTACCTTTTTATGAAGCATTGTTAAGTGTTGCTGAGTTGGTTTTGTGAGAATGAGTGTCTTTTCTTAAAAATTGTTATAATCCTGTACATTGTATTTGGGTGACCTTTCTTTTACTTTTTGCTATTTCCTGAAGTCAGTAGGGACTGTATGACCTTTTACTTTTTACTACTTCCTAAAGTGGGCGGTTCAAGCTCACCAGCTACTCCTCGGAAACCCTCCACAGGGTTGCTATGGGTCAGAATCAACTC